ATTCTTCAAAATTTCTTCAAATTTTAATGTTAATTCTTCAAATTTAATGTTAGGAAGTTTACATATGATTTATATTCAGGGGGTGGTGTCGATCGCAACGGTGCAAAAGATGCGGAGGGAAAGCAAATTAATTGGAGGATCGGTGAGCTGGAGTGGGAAGCGTGGATGCGTGTGCTAGATAATGCGGTATGTATTCTACTTTGTATATCTGGCTCAGATTTTAAATTATGGTAGTAGAAAACCAAATTTTCATGTCCTCATAAGCATTGTCATAACCCAAAAGCTTCTAAATTCTGTCAATTTGAGGTACATTTAAAAGCGTTTCTTTCATCTATACCATGTTCTGCTGTTTTCAGGGCTATCGAACGGGTCATATCTATCGACAACCCCTTTTTCGTTCGAGGACACTTCCTTCATCGACAAATCAAAATGATGTTGCTGTTCCACCTAGCGCCTCTTCTATTGGCACCGTAAGATGGAATTCTTTTTTAAACTAATATTTTAACTTACCTATGATATTTTAACTTACCTATGGTTTCTATGCAAAATTTATTCCGGTGCTCTTTATTCATTCGTCTTATGACAGTCGTTTTGGTTGGTAAAGTTTCTTTTTGTTTGGTAATTCTGGATTATGAAATATGGAATCAAACGAAACTCATGCTCATGGTTCTTTTTATGGATTCGTAGATGTATAATCTGAATTGGATAGTTTGAATAGTCTAACTCCTTCAGGGATGGAAGGTTTGAGTGTCGAGATAATTGTTATTTGCTTCTTATTCTTATGGCATAGAGTCCACGAGCTGTTGATTGCGAGGCTTTTTCGTCTCATTTAAAAATGTTTTTTAAGGTGGATGAATCTGATTATGAGTCAGTGACAGCGCATAAGATGGCGTTATTGCGTAAGGAACAGGAACGGTCTCGGTGGTTAAATTCACCGAATGCCTACCAGAAAATTGAAATCTTGGAAACAGGAACCAATAATCCGAAACGGATTACGAAGGTATTATACATTTCGATTTTCTACTTTGAATTTTTCTTTCATACTTTGTTTTTTCGTTACCCATGTTATTTTCGGTCTATTAAATAAATGGTTAAAACTGTATAGTTATTTTAGCTGGACTCGAATGATGTGATATCTGGACTAAATTATTTATCCGGTTATAACAAGCATCCAGCTTAATTTTTCTCTTTCGTTAATTGACATATTTTCGTGTTCTACATTTCAATTGATTAAAAGAAAATGCAAATGAACTTCATTTCAGTGGGTGCAAGATGTAAGTTCACCATCCCAAAGTGGAACACCAGTGAAAATCTCTTCACCACACCAGTTTAGTCCTTTCTCTGCAAATCCAAAGGAATTCAAGGAAAAGCAGAAAGCAATCAAAGAAAATCGTCGATTGGGAACAACTTCAGCAGGTCCACAATCGCAAATTTTGGACGGAGTTACATATGAAGAGATCGCACAAATGCGGGCGGTATATTTTTCATGCCTCTTAAATTTATTTTAAAATTTATTGTCACGTTGCAAAAATCATGGTGAAGCTATCGTTTGCTTCTTAAATTTATTTTAAAATTTATTAAAGTAGGGATGAAACTACCGTTTCAGTTTTTTGGATTACTCGACATATATATATATATATATATATATATATATATTTAATTGTTTGTAGTCTGAGACTAATTACTTATAGTAAGTAGACGATCTTAG